AATCATCAGTTCCTGTTATGCCTAGTGGCACATGAGGCTTCAGAGAGGACTTTCCATGCTTTCCTGTCCTGTGCAATCTTCAATGCAGTTTTCCATGTCAAAGATGCCGCACTCAGGTCACTTTCCATCTCCATGTTGTTTTTGGGCGCCCCTGTTTTGTCTTTCCCTCTGGTGTCCATGTGAGATCTGTTTTGGCAGGTATATCAGAATTCATTCTCATAACATGGTCAAGCCATTTCCATCTTCTCTTTGCAATCATACTGTCTAAAGTTTCTGGGTTTGTTGCTTGAAGTAGTTTAGTGTTTGAGATTGTATCTGGCCAGAAAATTTTGATAATTCTACGTAGACATGTGTGGTGGAAGGTGGACAGCTTGTGTGCATCCTTTTTGGTCATTCTCCAGCAATCCGCTCCCTAAAGAAGAACTTGCAAAATGATGCTTTTGTAGAGTTGGAGTTTCGAACCTCTGCAGTAATTGTTGGATTTCCAGATTTGCCTCATCCTTCCAAAAGCAGCTCTAGCTTTGTTCAGACGTGACTGTATGTCCTCTTCGGTCCCTCCAGGTAGGGACACCACACTGCCAAGATATGTGAAATGTTCTACATTTTTAAGAATTTGGTTATTTATGGTCACGGGTTGTTGGTTTGGACTGCTTGTCATGATCTTCGTTTTCTTTGTATTCTTAGTCCCACTATTTCTGCTATGCTGTGTAGTCTGTTACTTTTTTCTTGTATACGTTCATGTTTATGTGATAAGAGTGCTTTATCTTCTGCAAAATCAAGGTCCTCAAGCATGGTGAATGGAGTCCATCGTATGCCTCTCAATGTCTTGTCTACTGTGTTCTTTAGTATCCAATCAATCACAAGGTTATATATATATATATATAAGGCAAGAGGAGCTTTTATAGCATTAAGTGATTTGTGGAGGTCAAAAGAAATTTAAAAAAATACTAAACTACAATTTTTTTTTTTATTCTAATGTCAAATCAGTACTTTTGTATGGGGCGGAAACAACTAAGGCAATTACTAATAAATTACAGACTGGTGCCTGCGCAGAATAGAGGGAAATAAATGGTATGATAAAATAACTAAAGCAGAGCTTTGGGAGAGAACTAAACAGGCTCCAGTGGACCAAGAGGCGAAGAAAAGACGCTGGCGTTGGATATGACACACACTTAAAAAACATGAAAACAGCATAACTAGAATGTCTTTGCATTGGAACCCACAGGGGCATAGGAATAAAGGAAAGCCAAAAAACACACGGAGAAGAGAGCTGGAGAATGAAGTTAGAAAGATGGGGAGGATATGGGGAGAGCTCCATGTAATAGCGAAAGATAGAACGACTTGGCTTGAGTTGGTTGAGGGCCTATGCTCCATAGGGGGATAGAAAGGCAGAGGAAGAAAAGAAGAATATATATATATATACACACACACAGTTACATATTTAAGTAGTGCTATTGTTGCCTTTAAATAATTTCCGTTGTTATGATTTCAGGACTTTCGTTTTTCTCCTGCTTCATATTTTTTAAATAACCTTCTTCACTTCAGTTATTATAATATTTGCTCCATCCTGAAGTCCATCTAATCAGTGCTTCCATCTGAAGTCGTTATTGAATAGAAATGAGACGTCAGACAACAGCTATTTAAAATTAAATGTTGAATGTTGAATTAGGAATCCGCATCATAGCACTAAGGACACTTGCATAAGCCCTCTGTCCCCATCTTCAGCGGCAAGCCAAGATTTTCAATTCCAATAATGAAAATTTTGCGACGGAAACCAAGATGGAATTTCAGATTATTTTAATTAAATGTGAGTGTAAATTAAATGAAAAAAAAAAGACAGTAGAGAGTATTTTTTTTTTTCAAATATAAATATTACATCTATGTGTTCACAATGAATATAAAGTGGCTGAGATTAAAATCACATTAGAAAAAGGCAAATGTTAAACGAAGTTCAATAAGGAGAATGCGGCTGTGAAACAAAAGCGGTTGCGTGCGTAGGCACACACACACACACACACACACACACACACACACACACACACACACACACACACACACACACACACACACACACACTCGTGAGCTCGCAATTAATGAAGAGCGTATATATTTATGTGGGTTGATAAATTTAATGATGATGATATGGAAGGATGTTCTGATTGTGATAATAATGGAAAAGTGGAGTCGTCAATGACAATGAAGTGTAATTAGATAGAACAAACGAAATAGGATAGGGAGGTATGAATGTTAAAAAAGTTTAATTTGAAATATAGCAGGGCTCAAACGCAAACAAGAAAAGTCAATTGTACAGTTAAATATGTATTCGGGCTTAGCAGCATAAGCCTCAAGCACATACTGAGAGCTAGCATATACACCACTGGGTTGTTTTTAAATCGTCGCCATCATTATGTTATAGAGAAGGTTAATCTCTAACTTGTAAGTGTGTTTTTGATCTAGGAGTTTGCACATTAACTAGCAAAAGTGAAATCCGCAACTGACCCATTGTACGTCATGTAGTTACTGAGTGTATGGTGCTGATAATGAAGCCAGTTCACACTCTGTAGATAGTATGAGCGATGTCACACGGTCCAAGAACATATCAGGGTATCCACTTTATTTTGGCTCTGTCAACGTAGAACTCGAATCAGTGAAAGACTACACTGAAGACGAGTAAACACATTTCATCTGAAGTGACAAGCTACTACCTGGCCACTTCGTTACCTAGGTTTCCTGAACATCGTATGGGCTGCCACAAAAGCCTGGCTCGAAGCTTGTAGAAGACGTACCATTAGGTAACCGCTGGTTCTATAGCTCCAGTGACATGTGTTGTTGTGTCTCGCTTTGACATGGGTAATCGCATATCTAGGAGGGGTATTTTAGTTATTTCGGAAAGACATACAACTAGAATACTTTGTCTAAAGTAGAAAGCAATAACTTTGGAAGTTCACACATGTTCTCCGTGTCCAGTCCATATGTTGATAATTGAGTCGTTCAGCAATTTGACTGACCATGACCTTTCAACGTCCGGACAATCATTTCTTATTTGACCTTTGAATGTAAGAAAATTATGCCACATCTTGAGTGCTAATATTTGTGGGTCAGCCTTAGGAAAGCTGTGATTTTCCTCCGGATGGCTTTATGAGAGTTTGTTTTTCTTTTGACTTTTTTTGGTTTCCTTATTTATGTACCGGGGGGGGGGGGGGGGGGGGGGGGGGGAGTGGAAAAAAAAAGGGGGGGGGGGTTGAATTATAAAAAAGAATCAACAAATAATAATATGAAATTGTTTCTATAATCACATAGACTTGTAGGTGAGATTCCAGTTTTGAGAAGCGGTACTGCTTAGGTTGTAAACTCTCTATTACTACCATCATCTATTTTTTCAGACTCTCTCACTGCAAACCTTTCTCAAGGAAGGGTCGCGGCTCAGGTGAATGCATGAAGTAACTAGGTGTTGCCTACACATTTGAGAATTGAATTTTGAAAATTAAATATTCAATGATAGAATGAGTTAATGCGTGCTGTCATGACTATACAAACATATATTTTTTCTCACGGTGATACATCATTGTTTGAATAATCACATATCAATACATAGTAAAAGTAAAGGCTCCCTTATCCAGGCCTTTAGGCGTCTTTGGAATATACGGCTAGACCTATATTTGTATAGACCAGTCGGCAATTGGGTGGTCGGCATCACGCCAAACGCTTTTACTTCCCAGAAATGCATATGGTACCCACTCAAGGTTAGGTAGTTCTGGGAGTCATGGTCATTTGTGAAAAAAGTCCAGCTCCGTTAGGACGCTAACCCACGACCATCTGATCCTCAGGCAGGCTTCTAGGCACCAACGCCACAGCCACTATCATATGTACATGTGTGTGTGTAAATGTATGTCTGTGTGTGTGTCAGTGTGTGTGTGTGTGTGTGTGTTGTAACAGAGCAGAGCACTCAATTAAAGCAACAACCATGTGGCCTTTCATTAAACATTGTCAGTAGGTAAAGTAAAAGACGCTTTTCATGTCAAGCTGATTATATTATTCAATTAAAATAGGCTACAAAAAGTTAGAACAAATAAAAAGCTGGAGATAATATACCAAAAAGAATATTAATAAACTGAAAACTTTCTGGGCAATTTAAAAAAAAAGGAAAATGTTTAGGCCCCCTGCAAACTGTGAGGCCCAAATTGTAGCCTAGTAAGCTTTAGTCTAAATTTAACACTACCCTTTTTAGCCTGCGTAGATCTGGGAGAAAGCAATGGCAAACTACTGGACGTAAATTTGCCAAGAGAAACCACAACAGCTAAAAAATGCTCAGGTTGTATCCTGTAAAGAATAGGCAACTAAGATCTGGGAGCCAAGGTTATTCTCTTCAAATAGAGCGTCTAGTGGCTACAGCCCCTCGGCTTGCAAATAAAGTCCAGGATCCTTTTCTAGGCTTTAGGCGTATTGAGTATTTAGTGCTAGACCTATATTTGATAGTCCAAACGGCACTTGGTGGGTGATGTGGTCCGTATCACGCCGGTAGCCTTTACTTCCCAGGACTGTACATGACACCCACTCAAAGCTGGGTCGATCTGGGAGCCAAGTCATTTTTGCCAAAAGTCCAGCTCCCTTCAGGGGGAAATAGTATGAATACTGACTGCTAATTGCTAACCGGGTTGTTCTGATTTTTTTTTCTTTTCAGAATCAGCCAGACAACCGCAGTGATTTCAATCAACGAACCAGATTAGCTGAGATCTCCCTAGCTTTAGACGCTGACAACTTGTTTACTCTCAGTGCAGACATGCATCATTCTGAGAAGGGCTTTTAGCACCTAAAGATAGAAATTCAATCGATGTTAACACAATTCAGTAATTAACGTGATTGCCATTGAAGTGTCATCTAGGATATCACTTTTTTTAGTGATTCCTAGCTGAAAAGCTCTTGTTCATGCTTGAGGAAACAAGTCTTAGAATTCCCAACAAACACAGGCGCTGAGTCAGGATCAAAGTGTGCACATCAAAATGCAAAAAACCATTCGCATCAGTGAAGGCCAGCTTCTCTACCTAGCCAGCAAAGCCAAGGTAGAGAATACAATGTGTGGATACCTTCATAAACGCAGCTCTGATCTGGGCAAATGGCAACAACGTTACTTTGTTCTATATCAGAACGTGCTGTTTTACTATGAGACAGAGATGTCGACGCGACCTTCTGGTGTTGCTTTGTTGGAGGGCAGTTACTGCGATAGGATTATTTCTCCAAGCTCCAAAAGCAGGGACACCGACAAACAAGTAAGTCGTTTTTGTCTTTGTTATCAATAATCGGCATGTGGCGCTTTTTTTAAAGCTGCTTTTCAAAGACACCCTTTTTTTTTGCTGGTGACGAATATTTTAAACAATGATATCAGTAAATATCCTGTGTACCTTTTAGATCGGCCTCTAATGCGATAAAAAGATGTGTTCAAATGTGGGACATGAGTTCAGGTACAGGGGTGGATGTGTGAGAATGTGAAGCCATGGACTATGTTGCATGGATTGGAAAAGTAAAGATGACGGAGAAAGAAAATACATGTAGGTGAGGAGATGAGCGTCTGAGAAGAAGTACGTTAAATACATTTTGCGATAACTATGGTCATCAAATCCGATTTCCTAACTGTGGAAGACTGTTTTTAACACGAGTGGGTTTTGCTAGTCGCACTCGCCATTGGCTGGGATTCCGTATAGCACGATATAATACAATAATCAGGAAATACGGAAAGGTGTCAACAATGTAACTTACTCGTCTTACTGTGGTCAGTCCTTTCACTGGTCATCAAGTAATATGCAATCTGTCTATAATGAATAAGAAAGCTTAAAAGTGTCTCTGTCTAATAAGAAAAAATCATCAGAATAACTGAATTGTAAAAGCGATATTCACTATCTAATTTACTGCATTAAAACATCTTAAGTATTTATGTGAAAGATCGCTTTTCCACGCCCAAATATTCTACAATTAAAAACAAAACAGGACTTTCTGTGTAAGCACAACACAAAAGCTATTTCGTCCTAATATCTTCTTTTTCTTAGTGTTCATTGGCAGTCAACTCCGGCGGAAAGTTCTGGCTGTACGTCTAGTTCTTGAGTCTTGTGTGCACTTCCCGTTTACAGATTTGATAAACTTGTATGCCGATTGTTGGTTCCTCGCCTCTCAAGCAGATGTACTCCGATTTCAAAGAGACAACCCTAATTGGTCGTCGTTTACGACATTATTCTTAGGGGACAGTGTGTTTAGTGACTTCCCCCCGCCCCCCCCCCCCCGCCCCCAGAAACAGGGTCTCATAACCCACACAGGGAGCATCCCAGTACAATAATAACATATGTATTTCATGCCCAACAGCTGATATCACGAAACAAGGGGGGGGGGGATGCAATGTATGCAGCAGTCTCATGATTGCAAGAAGGCTATTTTAGAAAAATAGGAAACACATTTTATAACCAGCACATGGCTAAAAGTTAACGTTGAGTGTTTTCTTCAGTGTTATGAGCAGAGCTGCCTGGATGCATGTATGTGTGTGTTATTTTTTCTTTGGTGTTTTTTTTTTTTTTTTAATTCGTTATCATCATTGTCATCATCATCACAATCATATTATGTATTTATGCGATTCGATACATGAGATTCGCAATTAAGTCTTCCATTCTGCTCTATCGTGTGCAATCCTTTCAATATCATGAATGGAATCGAGTCAAGTTTCTTGACCTCTCCCAGCAACTTTAGTTTTACATTGTGTGTGTGCATGCGTGCGTGCGTGCGTGCGTGAATACGTGCGTGCGTGCGTGCGTGTGTGTGTGTGTGTGTGTGTGTGGACACCCTCGTTTCTTCAAAAATAAAGGAATGATGATTGTGTTTGGTTGCACTCGAGATACACCATTGAAACAATGAGGCATATGCTTGAGCTGACATCGGTGAAGTCTAGGCTGTCAGTGGCGCAAACCAAGGCCTAAATGTATGCGAGTAACTAATGATGAAAGGCATTCGCGGCCTGGCAGTCTGAAAGATTTGAGAGAAGACCAGTTGAAAAGATAAAGTCATGGGGGGCATTAGTTGAAGATACCATCGAGAGGGTGGCCTCAGTCGAACAAATACACAATAGGTAAGAATGTTTTGTCACGAACACCCAGGACGATCGGAGGCTTTTCGCAGCAGCACATCCACATCTCTGCTGAGAGTGCAAGAACTGGGAGTAAAGATTGGCACAGCCAGGCACGAGCAGCACAACGGTCACACCAGAAGTCTTGTCAACCAACATAGGACTGAGACTATCAAACGCGGAACGATGATGAATTCATTTAAGAGGGAATCTGAGCACCTTTGGACTTGTCAGGAATGCCATGGAGATGATGCAAAGCATAATTCATAATAAACAACACAACAGCAGTTTCCATCAGGTCATTCTTACATTAGAATGAGAACGTAGAGAGTGGTGTAATGATATGGCAGAATTAAAGGTACAACACCTGCTAGAGGAAAACCCTGGGCTAGATGATGTCCAGATGATGTACACAGATAGCTCTGTTCATCGGGATGTGAAACATGGCTGGGCATTTTCAACTAGAATGAAGGGAAAGATTGTTGCAGAACAAAATTAGGCTCCTCCCCCCCCCCCCCCCCCCCCCCCCACCACACCCCCCCCCCACTTTCAACCATGAAGATGAATGTAGAGGCAATTGCTGAATTTATGATGCCTATAAACAGAAAAAAAAGTTGCCAGAGGAGTTATTGTGTCTGATTCTCAGTCGGTACTGACTGCCGAAAGTTTAAAATGGGCAAATATGGCGGGAGTGGATACCATCAGTACGCCATCATTGCAGGAATCACGTGGGTATACTTTGTTTTCCCCTTTCAGACTACACTGAAAAGTCAAAAAATGAAATGGTATGGACATGGAATAAGATCTAACGGCCTCTCAAAAACTATACTGCTAGGCTCAGTAGAGGTAAAGAGGAGAAGAGGCAGACAAAGGAAGACCTGATTACAGAACCTAACTGACCGGACAGGCCTTAGGCATGCAACCATGAAATCCATCGCAACTGACCGCTAACGGTGGAAAGACCTGATCAGACAGTCAACAGAAACTGGTGACCCAACGACATGTAGTGTTACGGGATAATGATGATGATGATGATGATGATTATACTGTTTCGGAAGATGCAGGAGTGTGAGGGAATAAAAGAGTAGATTTTCTGGTTACAGAACGATAACTACGAGAAATCTCGCACTGGACAAGGGAGATATTCTGATTTAATACAGTCTAGACTTTAACCGATGTCAGCCTAAGGAATCTAATTGGTTTATCTTGTGTGCAACCCAAAATAATTCCCATTCCTTCGTTTTGAATCTGTTGAAGCTTTGTATACTGTGAAGTAGACAGGGTCAAATTTCTGTAGTGAATTACTGAAAAGACCAAATTGTTAATCAAAAGGACCAGTGGTATGTGTTTCATGTGTGTCGCCATCGTCGTCTTCAGTGCCATCAGGTCACGCTTGCTCAGTGTACTCCACGTGATATTTATAGGACAGACTGCGATCAAACGTTATAACCTTCCAATGTCAACTTTCGCACTGGCCAATGGGCAGTTTTTTTTTTACACCAGACTTGGTGTAGTTACGTTGAATAAAACAGGCCACAGTGGTGATCCCCGAAGAAGAACAGGGCAGTAGCGCATTGGATCCCATCTCCATGTTCCCAAACAAAATACCATTGTTTTTTCCAGCAGTGCTAACCCCCCCCCCCCCTCCAACCCTGTTGGTTAACCAAGGGTTCATACTACAGTGCAAGACGCACTGCATACGAAATGTGAAGTCAAGGCAGTTATTTACATCTTCACCATCTATCGCAACAACAACAGTTTCTGGCTTTCGCTGAAATACTGCATACATATAATATGTCAACGTACCAGCATTGTCCTATGTTGCCTTTCAATGTCTAAAGCTGTCCGTGGTGTCCGGTATCATGCCCATTCTTTGTGTGACATCCCTTTCTTTGCTACGATTTTTTGATTTTTTTAAAGCTAATATGTAAACAATGTTTGCCTGTTGAATTCTGGACACGATATTCAATATAGAGCCATTTTTAACAAATGGCTGTGAATCCTGGACAATTACTAAACAAGTTAATCAATCTATTGAGGCGTCAAAGTTGTCGGTTTCACAAAAGAATCATTATAAGTCATTAGACAGCCACAAATAGCAACGCGGGTATTTTCAAAGAGGCAATGGCTCGAAAACAACATATCACAAACTTAACAAAGAGAAAGTTATAATTAGGGGAGGTGGGGGGGGGGGGGGTCTATATTTTGAGGGAAAAGAAGCTGGAAAATATTATCACCACTGGAAAGATCTGTGGAAAAAGAAACAATGGAAGACAACGCGAGACGATTCTTGACAGCCTTTTGTCATAGCATGGTGGGGTTACAGCACACACATTTTATACTGCTGTTGAAAATTACAGATTTCGGTGAGGCATGGTCGCCAAAAGCACTTGATAATGGTGATAAACGTGTGTTGAAATACAAATAATGAGAGAAATACAAATGATGAAGTCTCATATGATGAAGTCTTATATGATGAAGTCTCATATGATGAAGACTTATATGATGGAATGCTTCTAATGAAATATAATATGAATAAAATCTCAGATGGGCGAGTTAAGGTCTCTGAGATTGGCAGACCTGACTTTCATTATGATCACTGGCAGTTTAGGGCAAACTAGGAAATTTTTAACAGCCTTGACTGTTTCTTCTTAAGTAAATCAAGGAAACGCCTGTGTGTCACCGGGGACCTCACGGGAAGCAAAGAATAGTGACACTGCACCCTACCAGGCATGTCGTAAGAGGCGACTAAGCGTAGGGTTGGGCGTGAGGTTGGCTACCTCATCCTGTAAAAACCATAGCCACAAAAACCAACCAACCATGGATAAGTCAAAAAGAGAAGCAAATAAAATCCAGCCAACCAAGATGAGGGGAGGCTCTTCAAATAGAAGAAGTATGACACGGTGTGGAGAAAGCCGTAAGGAGTCCGGATCGTTGACGTACCTCCTCTCAGCTAGGAAACCTCCAGAATTGGCACCTGGAATGTTAGAAACAATGGAAGTAGCAAAGAAATTAACATTATAGAACTCTCTATGATTCAAAATATTATAAATAATGAAAGAAAGGGCAACTTAAAAATTTTGATGGGTGACTTGAATCCTAAGATAGGATCAGACAACACAGGTTATGAAGAAATTATGGGGAGACATGGTCTAGGAATAATGA